TGTTTGTTTTCGCTGGCAGAGTGCTTGGGCCACCACAGGCGCCCCTGACATGAGTGATGTTGAGTGGGCCACACCCACCCTGGCCACGGCCACTCTGGCTCCCTGACGTCAAACACAACCCTAATGCAGCCCACAATGAAATCAAGTTTGACACCCCTGTTATACCGTTTCCCTGAAAATAAGACCTCCCCAGATAATAAGCCCAATCGGGCTTTTGAGTATATGGGCTAAAATAAGACCTCCCCCGGAAATAAGCCCTCCCCCAAAATATTGCAACACAGCAGCAGCCATGAAGTGACCATGCTCGCCTGCCTCTTGCACCTCAAAAATAATAAGACCTCCCTGAAAATATGGCCAAGCACTTATTTCGACGGTCAAAAGAAAATAAGATCCTGTCTTATTTTCAGGGAAACACTGTATCATATTACAACCTAGGAGTTCATTCTCTTTGTGTCAGAAAGAAGTACCCCAAGATCACACACAGGTTCAAAGGATTATTGAAACAATCACATTCCACAACCTTGCTCCACATCCTAGGGAAATAGGGCAAAAAAGAATGGGTATCTGTTCATAGAGGACACATGTATTTCAGTATGCAGTAGATGAAAAATAACTTCATCATGGATTTACATATTCAGCTACAAAGGAGTTGGAAACAGAACGAATATTACCCACAAACAAAATTAGACTAGCATTGTTTCTCTCTCTCTCCCCCCCCTCCAAATCTATCAGGGGATTAATTTCCTTTTTCAAAATGTAGGTGATGGCTGAGAGATTCTACTCTAACTTTCTTTAAGAACTTTATTTTGATAGAGAAGCTGCTTCTTTTCTTTAATTCTTCCTGGACTGACCCTACAACTCTTTTAAATAAAGAGAGCCCTCAGTCATTTCATAGTTTGTTGTTTTTTTTTAAATTCAATCCCCATCTACTTCTATAGGAAAGGGCAATTTTGAATAAATACTAAAATCGGGGGACGGGACGGGACGGGGACAGGTAGTATAGAAAGCACTTCTCTGATGTACTATTATGCATAAGGATTGAAAGATCAAACTTCACACCGAACCTTTAGTGAATATTTGCCTAGTGCAAAATTATGCCTAAATTAATTGTTGAGCTCCAGAAAAAAACACAGCAAGAGGGTTCTAAAATCTTTAAGCTTTCTGCCCCTTCCAAGAAACAGTTGTATGTACCTTGCTGTATAATAGTCCAGTGAGAATGTCTCTAGAGCACAGATTCCTTCTTAAGGGCCTTTACTTTGCCAGAGCTGAGTGGGAGAATTTTCATTGCACCAGCTGCTATGGTAACTAAGAATAAGCCCTTATTTGTGATGCATCTTATAAGATGTTGCCAAAGTTGCCCTTTATGAAGAACTATGCTTTTTTTTATCTTTCAAAACTGCCCGTAAATGCCAAGTCTCGGAACTGAGGCGGTACGTTAAAATCTTACTTTTTTATTAGTAGGAAAACGCTTGTCTTGGGGTGAACTTTTGGCCCTACAGAGAGTAAGCTGCACAGATTCTCATGCATATTGCATGACTCTTGCATATGGCCTGGACTTTTGTAGTGAAGCAAATCTCTTGTTGGTTGGATGAGGCACATCTATTTCTCAAGAGGTATATGCAGTGAAATGCAGGGTACAAGTATCAATATAAAATAGGCATGCACAACACAGGGAGTATGGTCTGAAGAGCACCTCTGCTGAAGGGTGGTCTTCAATATGATATAAAGGGCAAAGTGTTAAATACATATTTACTTAAACTGTATCTAGTTGCTATCACTGAATTGAACCTTAACACCATTTGTTTCAATCTGTTCTGCTGTTGTCCTGTCCCTTCCCACAGTTTTAAATTTCATGTGTTCCCTGCATTTGGGAATATACTTTAAAGTATTCTGACAGCATCTTTTCTGGATGGTGTAAATCTAAATCTATGTTAAGCAACCAACTTATTATTTATTATTATCTGCCCAGAGTGATAGGAGGTGTAGCAGCATACAAGTTTAATTTATTATTATTATTATGGTTGGTAACCCGATCAGCCTGATATTTAAACTGGATTTGGCATTTTTATTCACCCAATTGAGTTTTCCAAAATCATCTTGTCAGTTTGGAATTGTTTGGTTTTTTTAAAAAAAAATTCTCTACTGTTTGGGCAGTTTCTTTTTGGCTCAGGTGGAAAAAGGTAGTTTTCAATGCAGCTGGACTGCATCAGACACAATGGCAATCTGAAAGTTGTTGGTAAGCGG